ATAAGTTTTTTTTTTTTTTTTTTTTAACATTTAACTTTTCTCAAAATTCAATAACTTCGTATTGTGGCACGTCTATTCTCTATAAGTTTTTGTTTTTTTTTTTTTTTTTTTTTTTTTTTTTTTTTTTAAACATTTATTGGATTAAGGTTACCCTTTATCTTGCTCTATATTGAAGCTTTCAGAGCATCTGTTGAAGATACAGATGCTGTTTGATTTTCAGTTTTTGTAATAACTTTATGAAATATTGAAGCTTGAGTGTTATTAAAATGTAGCCAAGCTTTTGCCACTGGATTTTCAAAGAATTTTAAAATGAGCACTTTCTTGAGACTGAAAATAAGCCATCAGTGGTAAAAACATTTGGAGTACCCTTTCAATTAGCATTGCATCCCGGTGGGTTGTAATGCTAACCATCTTGAATGTGAATATCCTGGTATCATTGAAAACTTATTTTCTATAAAGTTGCAGAAAAGTTTTCAGTTTTTCTACTCTAACATTAAAGTATAACCTTAACTATTTCTATATCAACTGGTGAAACAGCTGATGTTCTTACAGTATTATGAATAATATGTGCTGCACATCTGACTCCAATTAAACCATGGTTAAAATTTCATTTCAATTTAACGAAAACATTATTCCTTACATGTCTATCAGCTCCTCCAAAGTCAGAATTTGTATTATCGGCACAAAGACCACTAATTTTTTTTTTTTTTTTTTCTAAATTATTCTCTTCAAGATAGTTCAATACACTGATAAACTATTGCTAAGAATAGATGACAGTAGCAGTGATAGCAACTACAAAATGGAAGGCAGGAATGTGAAAATTAGCATAAGTATGGGTTACAGTAAGACGTGGACTGCATATGCAAATGTTAGATTGCCGAAGTTGTTTGTCAGGAGAAGTGCTGACAAAAGAGATAAAGGATCTGACACATATTGACCTTTGTTGTTGAAAAGCAAAATTTAATGAGAAAGAATCAATTGACGAACTTTGAAATTTTCAATATGTATTCCCGACATCACTTAGATGATTTTACACATGGCTGTATTATTCACAAGACTGAAGAAGGGTGAAAAATAAACAGATGTTGCAAGGGGGTTCGACATCAGCCACAGTGTTGTTTCAAGGCTTTGGAAATCATTTCAGACAGATGGAATGTGTAGCATACACAATTGGGGAAGTCATGTTCCTAGTGCGACAGCTACAGAAGTTAAGTATATAGTGCTGTTGACAAAAAGAACCAGGACAGTTATTGAGGTAGCAAATCAGTTACTTGCTGCTACTGGCAATCGAATCTCCAGAAAAAATGTAGCCAGATGTTTGCATCAAGGAAGGCTATGTGCCCACTATCCTGTTGCGTGTATTCCATTGTTCAGACAGCAACATACTGCACGTTTGCAATGATATTGCAAGCATTATGAATGGACTCAATTAAACTGGGCTTGCGTACAATTTTTAGATGAGAACATGTTCAGTCTGCTACTGGATTATAGACACCAACTGATCTGGAGTGAGAGTGGTGCTGTTTATCATCCAGAAAATATCCAGGAAAGGACTAGTATACGAGATGCAGTATCATGGTATGGGAAGACACTATGATCAACAGCTGCATGCCTCTACATGTGGTTGCAGTTGTGACTATGACTGGCCAATGATACGTTAATAATGTTCTGCTGCCTCATGTTCATATGTTTCATGATGCTGTCAGTGAAAAATTTGTTTTATGGACAATAATGCAACATGTCATCGAACAGTTGCTGTCCAGGAGTGTCTAGAGAGTAAGAATATTCAATACCTCGCATGGCCAGCATGTTCTCCATATCTGAATCCTATTGAAAATGCTTGTTATGCTTTGGGGAGGAATTTTGCTGGTCGATAATATCCTCCAATAAACAAGGACATCCTCATCCATGCACTGAGAGAGGAATGGAATAAATCACCCCGACAGATATTGGATAATGTTGTGCAAAGTATGACATGACGTGTTGAATAATACATCGCTCTCCATGGTGACTATTTCCCCAATTGACATCTTATGCCACAATTCCTGTATTCAGCACAATATGACCATTTTGTCCCTTGAACACTGTTCAAAATCTTTTAGATTTCAAAGCACAATAAATTATCTTTATTGTTATGTCCTAGTATTCTGGCATTATTTTATTTCACTTGGCATCCAAACACATTTACTTTTAAAAGCACTATGTAGCTGTTTATGATATAAAATTATAAATGCAGGCTTTTTGAAATTTCTTTGTGGTTTTATTTGCATTGCAAAGTCCAGTTTCCGTACAGCTAAAAGTACACCAGTTTACATAAAACTCTGAAGTCTTATATTATATATATAAAGCAATGATACAAAATATTGAATTAAAAAAATTTTTCTAATGCTATTAATATAAGTAAATAATAGAGGAAAAATAACATTCCAATCCTCAAAGTTTTATTTGCATGTCAGGAATTCTGCTGTAATTAAAACTTATTCAAATTTTACTGTTTACTAAATAATTTTGCAGTTTAAAAAGATTATCATGGCATTTTATTTGGAACATACTACACACTTATGAAATGAATAAATGTACTACAAAGAGGCAGTTTTCTTCCATAATTAATTACTTACAGAATGAAACGCTTCTAAAAAAATCTATGTTCAACAATTTAGTGATTCAATATTTATCATTCAGAAGGCAATTCTTACAAATACAGTAAATTGATTATAATAATTATGCTAATAAAAAGATATATGAGAAATCTGTGATGATCTATAGAGATAAATATTTTCTTGCCATTTTAATATTTGCATTAGAAAATGATATATATTAGAGTACACTACCTTATAACCTTGGGTAATACCTTATCAACAGTTAAATCAAAATTATGGTTAATCCAGTTTAAAGGCAGTTAAAAAAAGTGCAAGAAATAGGAATAAACCATATTATATAATTATCAGAAAAATAATATTAACTATTTTCCTCTACTTTTAAGCAGCTGAATCTGGAAAAATAAATTCAGTTCATTACTTAATTAGTATTCAAAACAAAAAAAAAAAAAAAACACACTGTAAATAACCATAGAATGATTATAATTAGGAATGAAGGAACAAAGTTATAAATGGCATTAAACAGCAATACTTACAAGTTCAAATTCATGTAAAAAGGGTCATTGTTTTTTACATCACATTATTTATGTATTCAGATTTATGTACAGTTAAATAATGTATTGTTGTGACTTAAAATATCTTCCAGAAATCATGGCATCATCTGCTCTTATCAAACACATTCTTCCTTTTTTTTAAAATTTTCTTTAGATAATTTTGTTTCATGTCAGTCACATAAATTGCAGTAACAACATTGACTTTTTAAAGACAGGCTCAGTCGATCTTACCCAAAATACAGACCTGATTGTAATTAATATATTACTATAAATTTATTAAAAAATCAGATATATGTGTTAAAATACTATTGGAATTAAATTTGTGTAGAGAAAACAAAATGTTTAAAAAAACATCTACATGAAAAGTAAATATGATATTAATTCATATATATAATATATATATATAAATTTATTACAGTCAAAAAAGTCGTTAATCCGACTCGTCGGGACTTCGGCGATTCCGGATTATCGATTTTTCCGGATTATAGATCATCAGTTTAAATCTCGTAAGATGGCATGCAGAAATTCTAAAAATTAAAAATATGAAACCGTTAATTTATGAAATAAAGAACAATTATGATCTAAAGGGTATCAAAATTTACAAAAAGAAAAAAAAAAGCTTAATATTTATTTGTTTTTTATTAAACATTTCTTTCAATGTAAGTTGTTTAAGTTTTGCTTCGTTTTCATGTTGATAATACTTTCTCTTTAATTCTATTAAACAGACATAATTTCTTGTTCAGTTACAAAGTTACGCTGTTCAAGTCCTATAATTGCTGTGTCGAGAACACCGACTAAATTTGTCAATCGAATTTTTGTTTTCAAAACCTCTGTTACTTTCTTCGCTATCGAAAGCAAATTATAATGACGAGGAAATTGTTTTAAATCATATCAAAGAAGAGCATATCGAGATGAAATACTACATTTGGTAAGAATTATAAGCCAAATAAAATAAAAAACATCTGCGCTGAAGATAAAGATAGTTTGACAGATCACTTCCAATTCCTTACGCGCCCGCCGCGCGGCGATCCCCCCGCCGAGCGCGTGAGATTGATAAACAGATTTCGGATTTCAAAACATACTTTCGCTTTAGATCCTTTACATATAACAAATATATATCGGAAATTCTATTTGATATAATCGAAAGTTTAAGCTTACTTTTATTAAATTGCTTTACAGTCTGCAAAAATAATAAGCCGGATCCAATTCGAAAATTAAGGAACAACGCAATCATCAACATAACTGAAATAGATAATTAGATAATTTTAGCTTATACCCATTATAACGCGCACGCGAAAACGTATTCTGCACTTGCGCACACTCATATGCCCGTCGTAAAGGGTCTACGCGCAAGCGAAACGCCTATCGATGTGTCAACGCGGCGCATGCGCAGAAAGTTTTAGTTTGAGTTCCGGATTATAGATCATTCGAATTATGGGTGTCCGAATTAAACGAATTTGATGTATAATCCTAATAATCCTTCATTCCTATGCCAAAAATAAATTTGTATATTTATTAGTTAATTTAAAATTAATTAAAAAAGTTTAAATTTGTATATTTCTATATTTATTATATCAAGGGAATGGTGCTGTCTTTGCCTCTAAATGTGCAATGTATGATTCAGTTATAGAAAAGCATATATATAAATCTAATTAAACATTAATATGATTTCATTATTTGTTTTTTACTTGCATAGTGCTAAGAAAAGTCTTACAGTAAGCATGTTCTGTATGGGAAAAAACAACACTTTTGGTAGATTTTCCCTGTTTCTATAATAATATTCCATATATATGTATAAATTTTAATTATTCAAATTACTCTACTTAAAGACTGTAAATGATTTTTACAGAATGTGTGAAGTTCATATCATAGGCCAAATAACTGGTGCATCAGAATTCAAACAGAATAAATTATTTTGTAAATGGGGCATACATACAGGTAATTCGAAATTCAGAAATTCTAACATTTCTCTTTTTCCACTTACCTCATACTTAAATATTTTTATTCTCTAGGGACAAACTGGAAAGTTATAGAAGGTTTTAAAGAAGGCCAAACACAAATGGATAATCCTCTTGATAATGAAACTTGTTACTGGAGCCATCCAGTTGATGTGCATTATGCTACAAAGGGGATTCAAGGTGAGACAATTGGTATAGCTATTAATTCTGCAGATAACATATTGCACAGTGAATATGTGCACATAACATATTGCATATAATGAATGGTGAACACCTTGTTTGTTTTAAAGTCATGTTTTGAAAATCACAAAAATTACTTATCCTGAAAAATTTTAAAATAAATAAATTTGATACTCAGAAATTTTGCATAATATACAACATTCTGTTTACAAGTTACTTATTAAATTAGGTAGAACAAGGGGAAATTTAAAATTGTTAATGATAAAATGCATATGTATATTATCAAAAGTCAGATTATTATGCTGTATTTGATATGTATCTTTCTTTCCACACATGTGCATATATATATCATAAATTAGTGCTTAATATGTTCAAGGTCATTATTTATTTTTAACTCTGAAAATAACAAATGCTTACCTCCTTGAATGTTAAACTACTGGCTATTAGAATTTGCTACAGCATGAAGAAAGTACACAACAAACATGAAATTTCCATGAAAGGTAGAACATGCTAGGATATGCAAATGATTAGCATTTCATAGCATGCATATGTTATGAGCAATTTTAATGCACTTCAAAACAGTATAAAAAGTAGAACTGAGATGTCGTTTTTTATTCAGAAATTATGTTTATTCATAATGTTTTGTGTTGGAGGCTGTGTTGGGATTTGTGTAATACAGAATACATAACAACATTTTTATTTATTATTATTTTATTATTTATCAAATGCTTGGCCATTGACCATCAGGCCATTAGGCGACGAACTCTCAAATACTTCTTTACAATACAGTCCAAACTGATTTATTTTCAGAAGCACTAACAGCAGCATTATGAAAGTATATTTTATAAATCCTATTAATTTCATGTTTAGCAGAGTGAAGAGCTAAGTCTTTGGAAGACCTTTGGAGAATATCCATACCTTTTTTTTGCCAAAAGTTCCACCATCTCATTTCCCCAAAGGCCACAATGTGATGGCAATGGCACCCACTGGAAAGCAATCTTTGTCTGAACTTTTCTCAACTGCTCCCTGCAGCTCTGGATACAAGCACTTTGTTTTCCTAGGTTACTTGCTAAGGCCTAAAGAGCAGAACTCTAGTCTGATAAAATTACATCCTTATCAAGAAACGAGAGATGGGCAGAAAGCTGTTGAAGGGCTAAATGGATGGCCTTGAATTCACAGTCAAAATGCGTTGTATGAGAGCCAACATGTAGGTAAAAGGAAAACAGATCGCAGAAGAAACCAGCGCGCTGGGGAAGATCCAAAAGATGAACCATCAGTGTAGATCAGTGGAGTAGCAAGCGTAACTGGCACCCGGGGCAAAATACCTTTTTGGCGCCTCTTCCCCCCAAAAAAAAAACCAGTGATATGATGAAAATCTTGGTTGGAGACCATTTGGCACCCTCTGCGGCAGCACACGGGCATCATACACCTTCTTGTTCCCCTAGCTACCCAGGTGTAGATAGAAGCCTCACAGGAGGCGAGTAAGTATTAACCCCTTAACTGCCGAAGGCGTTATATAATGCTTGCTCGCCAATGCGTAACGCCTGGGCTATATATACGCCCCTTCCAATTACTATCAGTGCTTGCAGTAAAATTATTCGCCAAAGCTTTGTACTGCAAAACACTGTACGAAGAACACAGAAAATATATAAATCAAATATTTAAAAAATTCGTCCGGCGGCTTCCTTACCGAGGTGGGTGATTGCTAAAGACAAAAATCTAAAATCATCTTATTTCATCAAAACAGTACACTCTACCGAGCTCAGCTTCTTCGCACACGTAAAACATTCGAAAACACTCAGCACGCGCTGACGTCACAAGCAGCAGCGCCTCGCGCGGTTATTACTTCAGTTCATTTCACACATCTCCCCCCTTGAGACCAGTGTGTCAAACTCATAACAAACATTATTTAAAGATAAGTCTTTTCGAACTTTACAAGTCGTCAGAGGAGGAATATGTTGCTCACATTTTATAGGTGCAATACCCTTTTTTACGTACACCGAGCACTAGAATGAGATTCCTCTGAGTCTGCAGCACCTCAGCGTATCAATCAAATCAACTTACCCCCAAAGGAAGTATCCCTGAAGTTTGTAAATTTGTACCAGCACATTGCTTTCAAAAACCGCAATTAAAACATCATTTGACATGATTAATTGGAATTCAATAAACATAAACTGTTATCAATACTAAAACACTAGATAAACAATACACTAAAATGACGATTCAATTGAGCAATTCACTATTGATTGGAAGTTTTCTAATAGATGCATTATGATGCGTCAACAAGTAGGGCTCGAGAAACTCCAAAACAACTCTGCAATGCCTAATAAATTAATTTTCTTATGATGGGAAAAAAATCTGGAAAATCTTATCTTAGATGCGACGGTACATTAAAAAAGCTTTTCAATATCGGCATATACAATCGGATACATTCTAAAACGATATAAATTCAGGTATTATCAATAAGATTATCTTTACACAAAATTCGTCAAAGGGAGTCTCCCTTCTCAGATGCGAGCGTCAAAAACAGACGACTTTTCTGGGTTTCACTTCCTAATTGATTACAGGCCTAGCGGCAAATAATGACATTAATCATTCGTTTCTGTACGCGTTCAATAAATTCAACCTTCATCCTGAACAATTTGAACCATCGAAAAATTTATAATCGAGTTTATAGATCATCTTTGATACCTTTCCAGGATAATCTTGTTATCGGTTAAATTGTCGTATCAATTTCCAGGAAGTTTACTGATATTCCTTTGAAGAATTTTATTTTGTTCTCAATTCGATAAATAAAACTTTCATCATTTACAGTTCGATTGGAGCGCAATTCTATTTTTTCAGTCCCATAACTCATTCAGGGATTCTATGAATGCATGAAGTGTTTTCAAAATATTATCCTTTTCCCCCGAATTTCGTTATCCAAATACCCTCCACCCAAGTTTCGTTTCGACAGACGTTACCACCGACTGTAATTCAACAGAATTTTCCGTCAATAATTTTCCTATAACATCTGTTCCGATTAAAAGGTTAGTTTCAGTTTCCTTTCGCAATGGATCACAAAATTCGATTTCTTTTTCTTTTAATTCATTCAAAATCTCTTTAACCTTAACCTTAAGAATAAAAACCGCAAATCCTTTTTTCAGAAAGTGCTTATACGAACGTTCCCTTTAAATTGCTGACCTCGACCGAAAACACTTCATGTTGCTTAGTCACTTCATGTTGTTTAAACATTTCATGTTGTTCGTTTCGTCCCCCCAAACAGTGCATGTATAACTGTCTCCTTCCTAAGTGGAGCTGCTTTAACCTGACTCAACATACTTTCACTAACGTAGCTACTTTGGCTTCCGCTATCAATTATGCAGCGAATAATTTTCTCGGACCTTGACACGAATTCGAACGCAAAGCGTTTGCAAAAATACAGTTTCGCTTCTGCTAC